GGTGGAGGGTGGATGGACCCCCGTGGGGTTTGGGGAGGGGGCTCCCTGTGCCCTACCAGGGGGTGAAGCACTCTGGGCTGGCTCTGGCTGGCTGACCACCGGCCTTTCCCCGCAGGTACGCAGAGGTGGTGGTGGCCTCTGAGAACTCAGTTCACAAACTGCTGGAGCTTCTACCTGGCAAAATCCTCAACGGGGACAAGATGGAGGTGAGGTTGGCAACCCGGCAGAACCTCTCACAGTTTGAGGCACAGGCTCGGAAACGTGAACGTGGTGGGGTGGGGGGGACAGGGGGGGTCTCCACGCTGCGCGGCGGATCCTCAGCAGAGCTGTCAGTCCAAACCCACTGAGATTTCGGGGTAGAGGGGGGGACAACTGCCAGGAGTCTCTGGGGGTTGTTTCCTCTTGCTACTGAGTCTTGATTAGATCCTGACCCGAGTCTTTATGATCCCCTTTTTTTAGGTGCTCACACAATGCCGAAGATCCCTCGTAGCCTCCTCCTCCTCCTCTCCAAACTGAATGGGCTTAAGCTCTTCAGCCTATCAACATAGCTAAGACCCTCCATATCTATTAGTAGCTCTTCTCTGGATCTCCTCCAGAATTTGTCCATCCCTGCGGAGGTAAGGTGCCCAACACTGGACGCAATATTCCAGCTGGGGCCTGGCCTTGGGCTTTTCTACAATGGCAATAGGTGGTCCTGGCCTCACTCCGCAGCGATGTGACTCCCCAGCCCCGTGCCGGGGGAAAGCTCCGCGGAGCCGCAGGGACTCGTGGCAGGAGCCTGTTACTGAGGAGGTTTTGGCCAACTGTGGTCATTGTAGATCCCGTGGCCCGTTTCATACAAGGAAATCCTTTCTTTTTAAGCACCTTGGCTGAGTTGCAGTGGGGTGGCTCTGACCTTCACACCCTTCCTTCAGCTCCCGTGCCCACCCGCTGCTTGGCAGCGCCCTGTGCTGTTTGTTACACCGTGTCCTGACCTGCCCTGGTGTTTCTGTGGAGCAGGGTGTGTTCCCTTCCATCACCCCTCGCCCCGCTGGGCATGGGGAGGCCCGAGTTTCAGCCTGTCCCCAGTGCCATCACCAGCTCAGCAGTGCTGGTGCCCAAACGATGCTCTGGTGGGTGCCCATCAGAGCTGCAAGGCCCGGCGGGGAGCCCTGGCTCCTCGGAGGGGCTGGGGCAGGGGCAGTGCCTTCCATCATTCCTCTCCTGTCTCATCCTCGGAGCCTCTTTGGACACAGCAAAGGTTTCCTTGTCCCTCTCAGACAGGCACCGAGTTTTCCTTCCTCCAGCAGCTCCGTTGCTGTCGGCACTTGGGTTCTGTCCCCTCGTGTCCCTCCACGCTCAGGCCTTTCTGAACCCACGTGAGGATCACGGGCTCTCTGGGTCCTTTAATATCTCTGGGGACTCGGGGCCCAGCAATCTCTGTGCTGGGGAATCTCTTGCTGTTTCTTGTGGCTTTTTACTTTTGTCCCTGTAACTCACTTGCTCGGTGGCTTCTGGGGTTGAGTGTCCCCAGAGCAGCCAGCATCTTGCTGGTGAGCTGGTACCTTCTTGGAGGCACCTGGAAGCGGAGGCTACGTTTGGCTGGATGGATCTTTCTCTGAGCACCTTGAGCTCTCCCGAGGCCGGAGCTCATGGGGCTGCAGGAGAGGATGGTCCTCACGGGTGGGGAGGAAGAGGAGGAGGAGAAGGTCT